GGAGTGGGACTCATGGTGAAGAGGTGAGGCGATGGCTGCAGCAGTGGCTTAAGGTTGCAGTAGGCCTGGAGTATGGACTCTTAGCAATGCAGGTGAGGCAGCGGCAGTGGAGCCGCAGACTCTTGGGGTACTGGCTGGATCCTTGACGCAGACTCATTGCAGCCTGACGACTAGAACACCTTATGGAAACCCCAGAGCCCTTAAGAAAACCTGGAGCTATGCTTGACAAGAAGGACCATAAAGTTAAGTATTATTTCTTATTTTTCTGCATTTATACTTTCCTGTCAATTGAACAGAAGATGAACCTCTATTTAAGAAAATTCTTTTTACTCATTTTGTAATCCAAAATGGTGCCAGATTGAGGTGACAGAACACTTTGCACGGTATTTTCCCAAATACATGTGACAATAAAATTGTTCATTCATTTGAGTGCAAAATGACATACTTTGGGAGGTCAAATGCAAGAAGAAAGTATACAGTAAATGCAGGACCCTTAGGAGCATTGATATATAACAGCAACTTGGGGTGCAATTCCACAACTCCCTGAAAGTCGCAGATCAAGTGGATAAAGTGGTAATGAATGTGTAAGGCATACTTGCCTTCGTCAGTCAGGATGCTGAGTATAAGAGTAGAGGGGAGATTGGTGAACAGGACTTGCTTCGCACTAGGATCCACATGGAGAAGAGATTTGGTGACCACAAGTTTTAAGCTGGCTAGGACTGAGGACATTTCTGAGGAAATGATGGCAAGAGTGAGGATTTCAGCAGGAGTTGATGTGAGGCAGGGGAGGTAACATTGAAAAATAGAAAATAGTTGGAGGAATAAGCCATTCGGCCTTTCAAGCCTGCAACAATATGATCATGGCTAATCATGTAATTCCAGTATCCCATTCCCACTTTCTCTCCATACCCCTTGATTCCTTAAGCCACAAGGACCACACCCAGCTCCCTCTTGAATATATCCAACAAACAGGGCCCCAACAGCTTTCTGCGGTAGAGAATTCCACAGGTTCACAACTCTCTGAGTGAAGAAATTCTTCCCCATCTTAGTCTGGAATGGCTTGCCCCTTTCTCTTAGACTGTGACCCCTGGTTCTAGACTTCACCATCATCAGGAAAATTCTTCCTGTACCTAGCCTGCCTAGTCTCACCAGGACTTTATATGTTTCTATGAGATCATCCCTCATTCTTCTAAATTCCAGTCAATCCAGTTTTTCTTCATATGTCAATCCTGCCATCCCAGGAATAAGTCTGGTGAATCTTCGCTGGACTCCCTCAATAGCAAGAATGTCCTTTCTCAGACTAGGAGACCAAAACTGCACACAGTACTCAAGGTGTGGCCTCACCAAGGTCTTGTATAATGGAAGTAATACATCCCTACTCCTATACTTAAATCCTGTCACAATGAAGGCCAGCGTGCGATTAGATTTCCTCACTGTCTGCTGGACCTGCATACTTACCTTCAGTGACTGTTCCACCATGACACCCAGGTCTTGGTGCACCTCATCTTTTTTTAAACTGCCACCATTCAGATAATAAACTACCTTCCTGTTTTTGCCACCAAAGTGGATAACCTCACATTTATCCGTATTATATTGCATTTGCCAAATATTTGCCCACTCAGCCAACCCATCCACGTGACCCTGCAGCCTTTTAGCATCACCTTAGGAGTTGAGTGATATTATGGAGGTGGAAGTAGGTTGTCTTCCTGATAGCATGGATATGTAGTTGGAAATTTGATTATATTTATTATTGTCACATGTAACTAGGTACAGTGACAAGTTTTGTTTTGCATGCAGTACAGGTAGATAATACCATACAAAGATCATAGGGTGACAGAAAAGAGTGAAGATACAAAGTTACAGCTACAAAGAAGGTGCACAAAAAGTAAGATCAACATTAGGCTTGAAATTTGAGACGTCCATTTACAGCGGGTAAGAAGCTGTTCTTGAATTTGTTGGTATGTGTGGTTAAGCTTTTGTATCTTCCGCTTGATGAAAGAAGTTGGAAGAGATTATTACCAGGGTGAGAGGGGTCATTAATGATGTTGGTTGCCTTTCCGAGGCAGTGAGAAGTGTAGATGGAGTCAAAGAATGGAAAATTGGCTTATGTGATGGACTGGGCTGTGTTCATACACAGAACTTGAAGTCATTTTGACACAGAATTTGTGACAGTCTGGTTCAACTGCAGCCATGAAGTGGATGGAATCAGGCTAAGAAAATGGGTTTTGAGGTGAGTGACCAGGTTACATTCCAGGTTATTTGTGGCCAGAACAGCCTTTGTTCCGTCTTTTTGAAGTTTGATTTTTGCCCACATGTAGTACAACAGATCATAGCCTCTTGTTCAATGCAAAGCTGGGCTTCTCATCTAGTACCTTTGTCACCCAGTTCTACTTCTGCTACTGTCTTCTTCCCTTTCTACCTCAGTCCATCTGGCACTGAGTCCCTCATCCATACATTTGTCAGATGAAGACAGCCTCCAACAGGCTTCACTCCCTGTTAACTTCAGTTCATCCAAAACATTTCTGGTGTAATCTGTACAAAGTTTACTTATCAACCAGTGCCATCCTCACTGTCCTACATTTGTAGGGTTCATCAAGGTCTCAATTTTAAAATTCCTATCCTGCTTTTAAATCCTTCCTTGATCTTGTCCTTCCCTATTTCCATAAATTTAGTCAGTATAACAACAAATCCCTTTTCTTCTGATTCTGGTCGTTATACATTCTCTGCTTTCACTTGGCATCTTTGCGTCATTGAGGTCCAAGCATTTAAAATAATTAAATGATTTGACAGATGCAGAGAGGATATTTCCTCTGGTGGTGAATCTAGAACTAGGTTCATTATTCAAAATCAAAAGGAGCTTTTCATACAAGTGATAATGGAATGTGGAAGTGTCTCAAAAAAAAATCCTGTAGCTGCTGGGGTCAATTAAAATTATCGCAGCTGAAATTTACAATATTTCTGTTGCATAAAGATACCTGGAATCTGGAAACAAAGGCAGTTAATTGTATTTGTCAAATTATTCTGATTTGATTTAATGAAATGGTAGAGCATGTTCAAAGAACTGAATAGCCTCCTCCTCTCCTACATTCTGGCATTGTCCCTTTCAAATCTCTCTCTGTCCCTCTCCACCTTATCTTTATGTGTCAAGCATTTAATTACCATGTCCAAGACCTTTCTTAAAATGGAGATCTAGTCATTAACTGTCATAGAGTCATAGAGTTGTACAGCACAAAAACAAACCCTTTGGTTCAATTCATCCATGCCGACCAGATATCCTAAATTAATCTAGTTTCATTTTCCAGCACTTGTCCCATATCCCTCCAAACCCTTCCTGTTCATGTACCCACCTAGATTCCTTAAATAGCTCATACCTTCGAAAAGAATCCCCTTCAAAATAAACAAAATAGCTAACTGATAGTTTACAAACAATCCTGGCTAGACAGTGTCCAAATTGGACCCAGAAGGTGATGGTTGAGGCATGTTTTTCCAACTGGATGTCTATGTCCGGTTGAGTCCCACAGGGGGTCAGTTTTGGGGCTGTTGCTGTTTGTGGTATTTATGAATGATTTAGGCTTCAATGTAGTAAGTTTGCAGATGATACAAAAATTGGAAGGGTGTTAAATAGTGAGGAGGATAGCCTTAAACTACAAGAGGATATAGCTGGGCTGATCAGATGGACTGATCAGTGGCAAATAGAACTCAACCCGGATAAATGTGAAGTAATGCACTTGATCAGGGCAAACAGGCAAGAGAATACATGATGAATGTTAAGACTCTGGGAAGCACTGAAGATCAGAGGGAACTTGGTGTGCATGTATACTAGTCCCTTACATATCAGGAAAGGTGGATAAAATGGTTAAGAAGTCAAATGGGACATTTGCCTTTATTAAGTAAGGCATAGCGTTTAAGAGCAGGGAAGTTATGTTAGAATTACATAGAATATTGGTTAGGCCACAGCCAGAGTATTGTGTTCAGTTCTGGAATCTGCATTATAGGAAGGGTGATAGCACTAAGAGGGTGAAGAGGAGATTTACCAGGATGTTAAATGGGCTGGAGAGTTTTAGTCATGAAGAGATATTGGATAGGCTTGAGGTTGTTCTTCTTAGAGCTTCTAGATTGAGAGGAGACATGATTAAGATGTATAAAATTATGACGGCAGAGAATAGGATAGACAGAAAGAAACCTTTCCCCTTGATGGAGGGATCAATGACTGGAAACAGAGATTGAAGGTTAGGGGTAGAAGGTTTATAGGAGATGTGACGAGAAACTTTTTCACCCAGAGGGTAGTAGGAATCTGAAACACACTGTCTGTAAGGGTGATAGAGGCAGAAATCTCGTAACATTTAAGAAGTACTTAGGTGGGCATTTGTGATGTCAAGCAGCCAACTGCCTCTGCCTTAATTATGAACCAGGATTTAGAAAGGCCTGTGAGCCTACAAAGGAACATTATTGACAATAGAAAGTATTTTCCAACTGACCTGAAGATGTACTTACAACCAAATAATTTCTATTTGCTCCAAGAAGTATTTATTTACAGTAACTAGGACTTTGCAACTTTAAATACACAACTTAAAAACAGTTCCAACTTACATCAGAATACAGTATGTATTTCTACCACAGGAGGTGTGTTAGTAATGATGCAAACATCCTCAATCCCCCTCTCATACCAGAGTCAACTCTAGATCTACCACATTTAATATGTAATATAAAGAAAATCTCCCCACAATGAAACAATTTGATGGCCTTGCAGTTAGGTGAAAATATGTAATGGGTTATTTTCCAGCATGTTCTTCTGTTCACCAACTGTAACATTGATGGACAAAGCGCAAAATCATGTGGGTGAGTACAAGGGCGCCTTTGGAGATTCAGTCCCCAACTATTTCACAAGGATAACTCAGCTATCCAGAGCCTTGACATTTATTTCTTTGTAATCTGATATTTTTCATTGCTGGTGTTCCTGCAGTAAATGTTAATGCTCCACTTTGTAATGAAACACTGACCTAATGGCTCGGATGAGGGTTTTCACAACGGGCTTTACATCTTCCATACTGATATCACAGTGAAATGTCTTTTCATCATAGTTGTCATCGCCCATGTTCTCAGCTTAATGAAAAACAAAGAAAGAGTTATCACAGAGTGCAACACAAAAAGGAAACTTACATTTTTACAAAATATTGCAGGGCCTCAGGAGCATCTCAAGGCTCTTTACAGTCATTGAAGCAGTTTTAAAGTGCAGTCAAAAAATAATGACATCAACATAAGACTCACTTTTAAAATAATGCTCAGGTTCCCACATTTTCCTTCCTTGCCATAACAGCTATGAGAGTTTAGACATTAAATCTTGATAGATTTTTGTACCATGGAAAGCATGAGACAGAGGCTTGCCTTTACCAAATATCTACAGGTGGCTTTAACCCACAGCCAAACAGATGGAAAGGACTCTTTTTTATCAAGTTGGCAGAGCTTTAGGGCCTCACTGAAAAAGTAAAGTACCTCTGGTTTGGGACAGATCACAGACCAGCAACCTGGATTAAAGTGGAACCTAACATGGCAATGGAGTGCCTATATGTCTTGAGATATTCCGGAAGAGGTACTGGGGTTTAATCCAGCAATATGAAATGGACTCGTACTGAATTAGCAGCCGATTTTTCACTATTCTATTTTTATTTTCCATTGATTTGGAAAATACTGCCAAGATATTCAGGTTCAAGCTAAGTAAAAGTGATAGGGAGTCTAAGAAGTGAGTCTCAAAGAGTTTAAGCTATTTTATGTGAACCTCAGTGGAAAGAAGATCAAGTCAGGTGTGGTGATAAATGGATAGCTGATTTGTGTAAGAATCCATTTTGTGCTGTTGAACTGGAACAATTCCAGCTCAACTACCATATAATGGGCTCACTGAGTTTGACCTTTGTGTCCGCAGAAGGAGAAATGTTACTCAGGTTTCCTGCTCCAATAACTGTCCCGTGATCCTGACTACGTGAATATGAGTGCACTTTGAGTGAGACCAAGATTTGATTGGATTGTGATGCTCTCCATGTAGAATAGCTGGCTAACATGCAATGTTTGGACTAACACTTAGAGTCATACAGTGCAGAAGAAGCCCTTTGGCCTATCAAGCCAATCGACCGATCTACACTAATTCCACTTTTCAGCATTTGGTCAACAGCCTTGAATATTATGACATTTCAAATGCTCATCTATATATTTTTTAAAGATTGAGATTTCCCAACTCTACTACCCTTGCAGTCAGTGCATTCCAGATTCCCACCATACTCTCAGTGAAAATGATTCTCTCAAATTCCCTCTAAATCTCCTGCCCTTCATCTTGAAATTATGCCCGTTATTACTGACCCTTCAACTAAGGGGAACAACTGCTTCCAATCTATCCAGACCATGTCCCTCATAATGTTATACACCTCAGTCAGGTCCTCCTTCAGCCCACTCCACTCCGAAGGAAACAACCCAAGCCTATCCAGCATCTCTTTGTAGCTGAAATGCTCCATCCTAGGCAACATCCTGGTGAATCTCTTCTGCACTCCCTCTAGTACAATTACATTTTTCCCATAGTACGGTGATCAGAATTGTATACAGTACTCCATCTGTTGCCTCACCGAAGTTTTGTAAGACTCCTACATAAACTCTCTGCTCTTGTAATCTAAGCTTCAACTGATAAAGGCAAGTCTCATATGCTTTCTTAACTTACCCTATTAATTTGTCCTGTCACCTACAGGGACCTGTGGACAAGAGCCCAAGATCCTTCCATTCCTCTGTGATTCCTCGTGTCCTGCCATTCATTGAGTACTCTCCTGTCTTGTTCCTTCTTCCAAAGGTATATCATCTCACATTTTTCAGGTTAAACTCCATCTGCCATTGATCTGCCCATCTGATCAATCTTTCTAAGTTCTCCTGTAACCTAATATCTTTTTCCTTGCTGTCAACCTTTGAGTCATCTGCAAATTTATCTATCAGCCCCAGCACAAAATTTCTACTATATTGTTGATATATATAATGAACAATAAGGGAGCCAGCACTGCTCCCAGTGGTATGCCACTGGACACTGGCCTCCTGTCATACAAACAGCCTTTTACCACCACACTGATTTCGACGACTAAAACAAGTTTGGATCCAACTTTTCAACTTGCCAGGGTCCCATATGCTTTTACTTTCTTTATCAGCCTTCCATGTAGGACCTCATCAATTCAAATTACTGCACTACCCTCATCTACACAGCTGATTATTATGATTGCGTCTAAGTTATAAGAAGACCACAGGGTAGATTGCCTCCCCAGCTCTTCATTAAGGTTCACCTGACCTGGTCTCTTAAAGGGGCAGCATTCAGCCCCAACTACATCTATAACAGGGTGTCATGGTGGTTCAGTGGGTAGCACTGCTGCCTCACATGGATCAATTCCACCCTTGGGCAACTGTCTGCATGGGGTTTGCATGCCCTCCTCTGTCTGTGTTTCTTCCGGGTTGTCCAGTTTCCTCTCACAGTCCAAAGATGTGCAGATTAGGTAGAGTGGCCATGGGAAATGCAGGGTTACAGCGATAGGATAGGCGGATGGGTCTGGATGGGGTGCTCTTCGGAGGGTCAGTGTGGACTTGATGGATCAAATGGCCTCCTTCCACAATGTAGGGACTTTATGATTCTATGAATGCTGCTCACCTCGTTGAAAAATTCAATCAAATTTGTTAGACATGGCCACCCTCTGACAACACCATGCTGACTATCCCTCCCTAATTCCCTCCTTCAGAATGTTCTCCAACACTTTCCCTACTACTGATGTACTACTACTACTCCTGAGTGAAGACAGATGTGAAGTAGTCATTTAACACCCTACCAATGTCCTCTGATCCCTAAAATGTGTGCTACTCTTTTCCTGGTATCCTCTTCCCCTTGAAAAACTTGTACTTGAAGAATAACAATTCATTTGACAATCATTATCCAGGGTATGAAAACGTCATTAAAACCAAAGAACTTCTTGACAACCTGAGACTTCATGGGAACCTGAGAAATGGTTCAGGAAATTTATTAAGTATTCGCACAAAAGCAAGAAAGTGAATGCGGAGTAAAGATACAAGAGTATTGAAACTGGTAAATCTAGTTGGAGCTAGCACCAATAGGCAATAAACTGAATGGGCTCCTTCTATTTTGCAATTTCTATGATTCTATCAAGCTGATAGATTGATCACAATGTAAAATGGAGTATTTACCATTTCAGGCACTCAGTGTTGCAACAAATACTCCTAGCCAGGTACAGCATGACATGTACAGCATGGAACAAAACAAAAGTGTCTCCCTAATGCACCACCAACAGCCTCACTCCCAGCTTCGTCCTCACAAATGCATCATTTCATCCATTTATTCAGCATTACATTTCTATGCAATTGACCACAGAATGCCCATGGTCTAACTGAACTGGCCACTGCCAAGGCTGCTAGAAGCCAGTCCATCAACTGCATATGTCCACAAACTGCATTAGGTCTGTAAAAATTGTAAAATGAAAGGATCCAGGTGGTGTTACCTCTGAGTCTCTTAGGCCCTACAACTTTCTTAATCAGAGCTCAAAAAACTGCCCCAAGCCTCAATCATTCATGAATTTGTAATCATCTTCTCAAAGGGCTACAGCATGACCACATTCCAGATCTTGAAATGTGTTTCTTCCCTCCTCTGCTGGCCATCTCAATTTATTATGCATAGGTAGGGCCAGTCAACAATGTCACTATGAAGCAAGATCAGCTTGGTCACCTTCAGACTGCTCAGTAGCTAGTTACTGGTTTCAAGGTCTAAATTGATGACTCAGGCAGGATCTCCACACTGTCACAGAGTTGCAGGATTTTTACAGTATGGAAAGAGCACCTTCAGCACATTGTGTCCGCACCAGTCACTGAACATCCATCTATTCTAATCACATTTTCCAATACTTGACCAGTATCCCTGTATGCTGTGTTGTTTTGAGTGCTCATCTAAACAGTTCTTAAATGTTTTGAGAGTTCCTACCTCTACCGTCCTTTCAGGCAGTGAGTTCCAGATACCCACAACCCCCTGGGTGAAGAAAGTAATCCTCAAATCCCCTCTAAATGTCCTACATCTTTCCTTAAAACTGCACCCTCTGGTTATTTATCCCTCTACTGAGGGGAAAGGTTTCTCAATATCTACTCTGTCATATGCCCCTCAGAACTTTATACACGTCTATCAGATCACCCATCAACCTCCTCTGCTCTTTGGAAACTGACCCCAGCCTATCTAGCCTCTCTTCAAACCTGAATTGCTCCAGCCCAGGCAACATCCTGATGAATCTTTTCCACATGCCCTCCAGTGGAATCACATCCTATCTGACCAGAACTGCACACAATACTCTAGCTGTCGCCTAACTAACATTATATACAGCCCCATCCTAACCTCCATGCTCTTCTTTCCAATGCCTTGACTAACAAAGGCAAATATCCAACATGAATTCTTAACCACCTTATCTATCTGACCTGCTGACTTCAAGGATATATAAAGATGCACACCAAGGTCCCTCAGATGCCCTGTACTTTGCAGGGTCCTACTATTCAACGTCTACTCCCTTGCCTTGTTAGTCTTCTCAAAATGTATCACCTCACATTTTTTAGGATTAAATTTCAATTGCCACTGTTCAGCCTTTCTGACCAGCTCATCTTTGTCATCCAATAGTCCAAAGCTTTCCTCCTATTTATCACACCATTAAGTTCCATGCTATCTGTGAATTTACTGATCAAACGTCTTACATTCATGTTTAGATCATTAATATATACAACAAACAGCAAGGGACCCAGCACTGAGACCTGTGGTACACCACTGGACACAGGCATCTAGTCACACAAACACTTTTCAACAATCACCCTCTGCTTTCTGCCACTGACTTAATTTTGTGTCTAATTTACCCTGAATCCCAAGGTCTTTTAGCTTCTTAACCAGGCTGCCAGGTGAGACTTTATCAAAAGCCTTAATGAAGTCCACGCAGATTACATCAATGGCACTACCATCATCTGCACGTGATTACCTCCTCTCAAAACTCAATCAAATTTATGAGATATGATCTCCCCCTGACAAAACCATGCTGACTATCTTTGATTAATCCTTACCTTTCCAAGTAGAGATTAATTCTGTTTCTCAGATTATTTTTTGAATAGTTTTAATACCTACCATCCTTCTTGAATAATGTATCACATCATCTGTCCTCCAGTTCTCTGAAACCCCTTTTCTGTCCAGAGAGGATTTGAAAATTAATGTCAGAGCCATTCCAATCTCTTCTGTTGTCTACCATGGAAACCTAGCTTACATCTCATCTAGGCCTGTGAATTTATCCACTTCCATGTTTCCTCAAACCGCTAATACCTCCTCCCTCCCAACGTTAATTTGTTCAAGTGCATCACAGTTTCCCTCCATCAGAAATTTCTCTCTTCTTACTTTCCACAGTTGTTCTGGGTTTTAATCGGAGTGATGCTCGGAATCGGGTCCTGTCGTTGAAACTCCAGCTCTTCTGCACCTTCGTGGGGCTGACCTGTGTCGCATTCTCTGTACTGGGTGAGCGCTGGATACTTGGGGCTGAAGCTTGCTTGCTTCTCATGCTCTGAATCCTTGGACTATTCATCTTCATTCTGTCTCTGAATCCTAGCTTCTGGTTACTGAAACATGGTAGAAAAGCATGAAAATCCTTGCATCCATAAATATTGCTGAACCAATACAAAGCCAATGTATTTACAAACATATATTTATCCATTCAAAATATACTTATACCACACATGAAAATAAGTGTAAAATAATCTAAGAATAGGAATAGTTTATGTCTACCAAGGAGTTTGTCTTTGATGTGCTTAATCCTATCTACTTTTCTCACCATCCATATATTCTATCCAGAATCAAAATTCCATCACCATGCAGAAAAGCTCCCTGTGGCTTCCCTTCTTCTTAGCATTCCCAGTTTAACCTGTCTCCATCAAAGACACCTTTACATTCTTCAGTCAGCCAAATCCTTCTAAAGAGGAAAAGCTCCATTTTCTGTCATTGTTCCTCTGGATTTAAAGTTCCTCAAAAATGCTGGAGATACATTTCTGATCCTCATATGACTGGTGGCAAAACCAGATCAACTTGTTTAGAAATATTTGAAATGTATAGTACAAATAGGAAAGGATTTGGCAGTAGTGAACTTGAATGTAATCTTTGCTTTCATGTTTGACCATAATGCAGTTGCTCACCAGTTTGTCTCATGTCACAAGCTAGCTACCCTGGATCATTGCCCAGGGTATATCCTTGGCCATGTTCCAAGTAACAATTTTATTTAAAGATTTGGAGATATAATTGAACTGTTTTACTTGGTGTCACCTTATTGGAAGTTGCAGAAAAGAAACAGATCATCAAAGCTATATATGTTGCACTCATCAGAAATGTAAGAAGACCAACTTTCAACAATTTACAACAATTTATAGTACAGGAGAAAAGGGATGTTGATTGATTGGCAAGTAACTGGCTGAGGCATTGTAATGGGCTCCCCAAGATTCCAGGTAATTCAGAAAGGTGAAAGGCTTGAAACTATTGCTTTTGTTTGTGGAGAACAAGTTCTTGAGTCTGTTGCTTCCAGCAAACATGTATTCGCAAGGTTACAACTCGATTGATTACCTCGAATTGTTGCTTCACATGTTCAACAAGTGCTGCCTAATTGAGGTTCACTAAATACAAAAGGTATTGTTCAATATTCACAAATTTTTTGAATTACTTATGGGCTTTGGGAGCCTGTAGTACCCAGCTTTCTCTATGGTAATGCCTCAGCAAATCAGAGTCCATTTCCAAACCAATTAGCACCTCTTTCGCTTGTACAACAAATTGTCGTGACTGTTTGAAATTTGGAATTCTTGCATGTATTTTGATGAATGAAAGCCTGTAGGTTTTGGCAACACGCTCTCTTTTCAACAACATTCAAGTTGTGTATCAGACAGCAGATTGTTGGAAATGTACAGGAGAGTGACCTTGTGCCCAATCCAAAATTAGACATGATGAGAAAATAATTATTACTTAGCTGAAATTATCATTATTATGTAGCTAGGAGAGACAGAGTTGACTCTCATGAACCAACCAGGAGACAGAGAGTGACTTAAACGCACTGACTAGGAGAGACAGCCTGACTCACACACCAATTAGACAGAAAATCCAACTCACATTGCACCAACCAGGAGAGAGACTTTTGACTCTCAATACAAGGTATTAGCCACTGCTCATAATGAAGGTACCTACCATTATCTTTTAAGTCAGAGATAGCAAGAACTGTAAATATTGGAGTCAGTGACAATACAGTGTAGAGCTGGAGGAACACAGCAGGCCAGGCAGCATCAGAGGGGCAGGAAAGTTGATGTTCAGGTTGGGACCCTTCTTCAGAAATGGGGAGGGGAAAGGGAGCTGGGAACTAAATTGAGAGAGGAGAAGTAGGACTGGGGAAGTTAGGTGGGATGGTGAAAGGTGAATGCTGGTGATAGGTGAATGGTCAGTGGGATGGGATGGTCACCTCTATTCAAGGCCCAAAGCAAACCTTTCACATCAGACAGGGGTTCACCTGAACATCTGCCAATTTGGTCTTCTGTATCCGTAGCTCCCAATGTGGCATCCTGTACATCAGTGAGACCAAGCATAGACTCAGAAACTGTTTCATAGAGCATCTGCAGTCTGTACATGACAAACAACAACACCTTCCGGTCGCCAACCATTTTAACGCCCTCTCTCACTCCGAGTGGCATGTCTATCCGGATCTCCTCCAGTACCACAATGACACCACACGAAAACTGGAGGAGCAACACCTCATATTCAACCTTGGTAGCCTACAGCCTGATGGCTAAACATAGAATTTACCAGTTTTAAAATCTCCCCACCCCCCGGTCTCATCCCATTTCCAACCCTCTCTCTCATCCCCACCTCCTTGACTTGACACAACCTGTCCATTTTCTCTCCCACATATCTGCCCCACCCATCCCACTGACCAATCCCCACCATTCCCTTCCTGCATTCACCTATCACCATCTCACCTACCTTCCCCAACCCCACCCCTCCTCTCTATTTATTTCCCAACTCCCTTCCCCCTCCCCATTTCTGAAGAAGGGTCCCGACCTGAAACATCAACTTTCATACTCCTCTGTTGCTGCCTGACCTGCTGTGTTCCTCCGGCTCCACACTGCATCATCTTTTAAGTGTAGGGAACCACAGAGCAGGGCAGTTGAGGAAAACCATTTATTTGCCTAACTACAAGAAGCTCTTGCAGTTAACAATATATGGTTTATTGCATGCTAGCAACTAGCTATTGGTCACATCGATATGTTCAATGTGTTACAGAAGCCTAGTAGGTACTAGCTGTAGGTCTCATTCCTTCACAATCCTAAACTGTCCTTCCCAAGGGTGGTACTGCTTCAGTATTAACAATGTCAGATGCTTTCTGACCCATATACAACAACACACTTCAGCCATGTGACAGACTACCAATCACATAGCTACTAAACATCCTGGAAACTGTGAGCACATGTGAGCAAATGAAATAGGAAATGGGCTCCATCACACAATAATTAAAAATAAAAAGCAACAGGATATTTTCTTGAAAAAGTTCAGTATAATGTACATATGGAAATATGGAATGAGAAGAGGAGATCTGGTGGCTTCTAGAGAAATAGAGATTCATTGGACTGAATGGCCAATTCCTTTGTTAAAGTATTCTATGACTCGATAACAGATGGTCAGAGCTACATTCAAGCACACATGCAACAACTGACAAACACAGGACAAAGCTGATCTTGTAATGGTGTCCAGCCTGTCTCAGAGTGGCACTCAGCCAACCTTAAAGTAGTGCAAGATGAGATACCTGCAGACATCTCCAGAATAGTGCATTTACACTATACTGCATATGAAAAATATAATTGTGTGTCTGATCATGTAGATTACATTAAAAGGGATAGTGTGGACTTCAGGAAAAACATAATAGTCTTTGAGAGAAAGTAACGTAGATTCACTACAATATCAGTGCTCAAGGATTACATTATGGAGGCAGAATAATCTGATTGACAGAAGTTCATCAAACAGTAACATTAGTTCTGTTTCTCTGCAAATGCTACTTGATCTGAACTTTTCAGAAATGTTTGTCTTCAGTTCAATCAGTCTGCATATCCTTGGACAAAAACAAAGTTGCGGGAAAGCTCAGCAGGTCTGGCAGCATCTGTGAAGGAGAAAACAGAGTTAACGTTTCGGGTCCGATGACCCTTCCTCAAGCCTCTGTTTTCTCCGTCACAGATGCTGCCAGACCTGCTGAGCTTTTCCAGCAACTTTGTTTTTGTTCCTAATTTACAGCATCCGCAGTTCATTCGGTTTTTATTGCATATCCTTGGATGCTGTTACACTCCTTGAGTGTTGTTACTGCTCCACGCAACCACAATTTGCCCATAAGCAGCATCTTTAATGTTATAAAATATCCCAAGGTGCGTCACAGGAAAGCCATTAAGACAAAGTTAATGTTAAGTTAAAGTCATTGATAACATGATCAATGAATTAAAGCTTGGTTGAAGAGGCAGTTTTAAAAAAATGTCTGAATGGAGGGAGATGTAGAGGAGCAGGGAGGTTGAAGGAAGGAATTCTTGAACCCAAAGGGTACAACGGCCATTGGCAGGTGGAGGGGAGTAGTGCAAGCTCAGAAGACTAAAGTTGGAAGAATGCAGAGTTCACAGAAAACTGGAGAAGATTCCATGAATATATATCAGAGTTTTGAAAAGTCACTGTTTTATGAAATCATGTGTGATTGAAACAAAGGTAAATCATCCCTCTGTTTTTCTTTTGATTTGTCTGCAGCCTTTGACACAGCTGCCCACACCATCCTCTTCAAGTGTCTCTCTTATTATGCTGCTGGGTGGGACTGCACTCACCTGGTTCCATTCTAACTGTCCACAATACAATAGCTTTTTGTCCCACTTCTGCGCAATTTACAATTGTGTAGTTTTATCACAATGGCACAGTTTGTTTTATAATGGCTCTGTGAAGCAACTTGGGACATTGATATTAGAAGTGCTTCATGAATATAAGTTGTTGTTATGGCATGTGGATAATGGGAAGCTAACAAGGAGAACATTTGAATAAATGTCTCTGGAGGTAGCCTGGATACGATTTGATGGACTGTGTGTTGACAGCTGATGTTTAGTCATTGCGAGGACATTGACTTGCATGTGCGGCTCAAAGTTAGTCCCAAAGTCAAACTGGCATATATTCTGGGATGGTGGCAAGGGAGGGGATGGAATCAGTGTCTCAGAAGTAGGTTTTGTGATATGGCCTGAAGGTATGGCTTTACATTTTATATATTTAATTAGAAGAAGTTTAAGTTCCTGCGAGGGGAATGAACTAACTGACCATGGCACCATGATACAGGAAGTTACTCATATATGGGGAGTAAGAAGGAACGTACTTATAGTAGGGGACAATATAATGAGGGAGACTAACACTACAGCAGAGAGTGAGTGCCCATATGGCTGTGTTGCTTGCAGTGTCAGGATTTGGAATAACTTCTCAGGGCTGGAAATGAACCTGCAATGGGAAAGATAGGATCCAGTCCTCATGGCCCAATGTCATAGGCAGCACAAAGGAGGTTCTACACTGACAATATGA